GATTTTCTCCCCGTTGCTGCGTACGGTCTCAGTAGAAATCCTAAAGATCAGACCAGAAACAATTCGCACTGAACATGGATAAAAGCAAGTATACTTCAGCCTTACTTGAGAGGCATTTCTCGTCTGGTAACACTGCAGTTCCTGTAATTTGGACAATCAGCTTGTAATCACAATCAAGAATGTAACGTACATCTACGTTTTGGCTAACATGCACTGAATATAGACTAGTACCTTATCTCCCTTCATGTGAACAACACTAGGTTTAACATACATCACAAAGTCCACTTCACTCAGTACCTTTCACGGACATTACTCTTTTCCACTACGGGAATAATCCAGGTAAGCCCTACTGTACTGCCCTTTTAGGTTTTGCTCCAACATACTTAGGCTACGATCAGTATGTGCACAATCACATCTGCGTTCTTTCCTGCAATGATCCCCTACTTTTCATATGCGGGTACAATTAAACAGAGGATCCTTTGCTGTAGAGAATTTATAATCATGTTTAGTTCGAGTGACCTGTTCATTGAACAATTGCTTGCACTTGCTGAGTGTAGGCTCCTTAAGTTTGGCTTCAGGGCATGGCAGAAATACTGCATCCTTTCCTTGCTAAGTTTAGACAGATTCTCCGAGGGAATATTGATCAATATTTCTTCGAAAAAGAATGCTTTAATTCGAGTTGTTACTCTGACTATCCGCCATTTTGAAACTGGACTTTTTAAAAAAAGGAATAGACTTTCCGAGAGCGCAATCTGATAAAGTGTCTGTGCTTATTGTTAGCGATGTTCCTGAAGCTCATTGGGTGTGCGATCAGAGGCGTGGCAGGCGTGGTCAACCTTGTGCTGTGTGTACCCCACTCGGTTGGACCCTGATGGGACCACTGAATTCGTGTGATGGAGATTGTTTCACTAAACTTTGTTCGCAATGATGACGAAACGCTTCATCGGCAAATGAAGAGCATGTTTAGGAGTGACTTTAACGAGCCGATGATCTCCTCAAAGGCTGCAATGTCAGTTGAAGATCAAAGAGCACTGTCGCAAATGGAAACTTCCATGAAGCTCGTGAATGGCCACTATCAGTTGGGGTTGCCATGGAGGCACAAGTCAGTAAACCTCCTGAACAATTGTGAATTTGCGTTCGAAAGATTGCGCTACTTAAAGAAAAAAATCCAGCGCAACCCTCACCTCTTCGAGAAGTACAGAGACACTATTAACGGTTATGTATCCAGCAGCTACGTTACACAAGAATAGTTCCTTGCAGCGAACAGGAAAATGTGAAGGATTCACCAGTCTGGTACTTACCCCACCATCCAGTTTTCCATCCTCAGAAACCAGGGAAAGCGAGAGTCGTGTTTGACTGCGCGGCCAAGTTTAAAGGCACCTCCCGGAATGATCACCTTCTTCAAGGTCCAGACCTAACGAATGGACTTTTGGGCGTTATCATACGTTTTCGCCAAGAACCCGTTGCCATGGTTGCGGATGTGGAAGGCATGTTCCATCAGGTGCGGGTAGCTCCCGATGACTGTAATGCGTTAAGATTCCTGTGGTGGCCCAATGATGATCTCTCCAAAGAGCCAGTTGATTACCAGATGTTAGTGCACTTGTTCGGAGCCACGTCGTCTCCAAGTTGCGCAAGTTTTTGTCTAAAGAAAACAGCCTCGGATAATCAGGGTGACTTTGATGTGGAAACCATTACCACTGTTGACCAGAACTTCTAGGTAGACGACTGTCTGAAATCTGTCCCTGCGACTGAAAAGGGGGCACGTTTGTCTGGCCAGATACGAGAATTGCTGTCAAGAGGAGGGTTTCGGCTTACCAAATGGATTAGTAATGACAGGAACGTAATCGCCACCGTTCCAGTAACAGAGAGAGCGCCCTCAGTAGTAAACTTGGATTTGGAAGATCTCCCTGTAGAACGCACATTGGGAGTGCAGTGGGCCATGGAAACAGACGACTTCAACTTTCGCATCATGGATGAAGGAAAGGCCCTCACACACAGAGGAATCTTGTCTGTTGTAAGCTCCATGTACGACCCTCTCAGGTTTGTCGTGCCCATCATTCTGCCAGCCAAGAGTCTGTTGCAGAGCCTATGTAAGCAGAAGTATGGCTGGGACGAAGAGATTTCCCAAGCAAATTCCACTGTATGGCAAGAATGGCTGAAGGAACTTGCATGTTTGAGAACAATATCAGTTCCCAGGTGTTTCAAGCCACCAGGATTCGGTGCAGTCGTCAATGTTCAGTTGCATCATTTCTCAGATGCTTCTGAAATTGGTTATGGAGCGGTATCGTACCTCTGAATCGTCAACGACAAGGGTGCTCCGCACTGTTCTTTTGTTCTTGGCAAGTCTCGCGTCACTCCCCTGAAGGTAGTGTCCATACCACGTCTTGAGTTAGCAGCTGCAGTGGTCGCTGTGAAGTTGAACTGCCTGATTCGGAACGAATTAGAGTATCCCATACACGACACAATCTACTGGACGGACTCTACCGTAGTCTTGCAGTACATTCGGAACGAATCAAGAAGATTTCACACCTTTGTTGCAAACAAAGTCGCAATGATACATGATGAATCCACACCACGTCAGTGGTGACACGTTGACACCTGTGCTAACCCTGCCGACATCGCGTCCAGAGGGGCGAAAGGTTCTGAACTTCACACGTTGGAGCTGTGGCTTCACGGCCCAAAGTTTCTGTGGAAGGACGAGAAACATTGGGCTGACCAACCGTCCCAGTTGCCGGAATTGCCTCAAGATGACAGTGAATGCAGAAAATGCCCTGGTCGAACAAACGTGATCGTCAGCAGTAAAATGTTGGAACTGCTGTTGTCCCGCTATTCATCCTGGAACAGTCTTCGAAAGGCCATAGCCTGGTTAGTACGTTTCAAGAAGTATTTGGTTGGCCTCCTTAACAAGGATCCAGACAGCATTCCCAAGGGGCCCTTGACTGTCAGGGAAGTTATTGCTGCAGAGAGTGTGATCATCAAAGCTGTCCAGCATGATGCGTTTCCAGCGGAGCTAGCTGCGGTAGGCCAAGAAGCGTCGGAGAACCAGAAGAAGTGCGTTCCACGATCTAGTCCAATACGCAACTTGAACCCTTTTGTTGCCGAGGGAATATTAAGAGTAGGAGGTCGCCTCGAGAATGCTCCTGTTTCATTCCAAACGAAGCACCCGGTTATTCTTCCCAGTAAACATCACGTGACAAATTTGATCATCCAGAATTGTCATCGCCAACAACGGCACTGCGGTCCTTCTCAAGTTCTGGCATTCATCCGAGAGAGATTCTGGATTGTACGTGGCCTCTCAGCAGTACGCAGGGTTTTGGCGAGTTGGATGAACTGCAAAATGCTCATCCTGGTGAACAGATTATGGCCCCACTCCCGTCAGCACGAGTCGCTCTGACAGATCCACCATTTACCCATGTGGGTGTGGACTATTTCGGTCCCCTCTTTGTCAAGCAAGGACGCAGTCAAGTAAAACGTTACGGATGATTGTTTACATGCCTTACCATGAGGGCGGTGCACATTAAGGTTGCGCACAGATTGGAAGCAGACTCCTTTATCTGTGCATATCAGCGTTTTGTTAGTCGCAGAGGGAAGCCCAAGGAAATACACAGCGACAACGGCACCAATTTCACGGGCGCCGAGCGAGAGCTGAGAGAAGCACTGGAGCGACTGGACCAAGCCAAAATCTACAACAGTCTAAGGTCGAACGACGTTCAGTGGTCATTTAACCCCCCTGAGGCCAGCCATCAAGGTGGAATCTGGGAACGAATGATACGCTCCGTACGGAAGATTTTGGGTGCCCTGTTAAAGGAACAGCTGGTGAGCGACAAAACATTGTCAACCCTTCTTTGTGAGGTGCAAAGGATTCTCAACAACAGGCCTTTGACTCCCCTTAGTGACCACCCAGATTATCCTGAGCCGCTGACGCCGAGCAAACTACTACTCCTGAGATCCAATTCTTGCCTCGCGCCGGATGTCTTTAAAGGTCATGACAAGTATAGCAAGCGCTGGCGCTAAGCACAATGCCTGGCAGATTCATTTTGGAAGAGATGGATGAAAGATTATTTACCTGCACTCCAAACAAGGCAGAAATGGAGCGTCCCTCGTCAAAACTTCGCTGTCGGAGACTTGGTTCTTGTTGTCGACGAGAAGACGCCTAGAGGTCGCTGGCCAATGGGCTTGATTGAAGAGGTATTTTCAGACAGCCATGGTCATGTATGTAGCGTTAAAGTGAAAACGGCCACATCTGTCTAGGGACGTGACATCAGAAAGCTGTGCCTCCTTGAAGGAGTCCAGAACTAATGAACTCTGATAAGTTCTATGGCTAAGACTGCTACATAGCGAACTGTGTAATCTAAATTAAGTTAATTTTCGTCACATTTCTGTATGTTCTTCGTAGTCTAGGAATTGGTTATTTTGTTGCTGGAATTACCTAGTAGCTAATTCGGGGCCGGTGTAGTAACCAATCCCCCGCCTAGTCCCAGTCCGCGTGTTTACGTATAAGTAATTCGACTTTCGCGCGGGTTATGCAAATCATAAAGTATCTTGCTCGAGTACGCTAGCTGTTACAACTACGTTACATTCTTTAACTTACTTCGTTCGCCGTATTCCCAAATCGTCAGGTATGTCCTCTGTCTTCGTTTATCTCGTATTTCCTATGTTATCTGTATTTCCTACGTTATTTCCATTGTTGTAATTAGTCGTTCCGCTCTTAATGTATTATGTTTGTTACTTTATCCTAGAAACCACTGGCAACATCATGTAAATAAGGTTAAGAGTTCGAGTTCTTCCAGTTGAATTTAAACTCTTTTACGACATATTATTGCTGGTGCATTGGCTACACCAAGGATCCCATGAGATAGCTAGACGCACGCGCATAATCAGCGCTTTTCGCGCGCTTACTCGGTATTCTCACGAGGTTTCCATATGCGAAAGAAAATTATTTCTTCTGTTATCTTTATGCAAATTTGAACCTATTTCTTGTGTTGAATCACTAACACGACATGGATGGAGCGGATCTGGCATCCGATACAAGGAGCAAACGCGTAAAAGATTCTCAGGACACAAACATGTCAGTCCTCGAAGGATTAACTTCAACCTTGGCACAACTTGCCAGGGCTTCGGAGACACAAACAGCAATGCTGGCTAGTCTCAAGGAAGACCTTCTCCTTCGTACTGACTCAAACGAGGATGGAGAGGCCGTTCAGAGCCTAAATGACAGGGTTGATCTCAACGCCGCGTTAACTGATGTGCTCGACCCGAGCGAAACGCATACAAGTACGACCACAGCGGCGAAACCTGCATCATGCCCTGACTCAGGGTCGCAGGATGACATTTTGGAAAGCCTGACTCAGGCATTTGTGCAAACCAAAGAGAAATCTCCTGCGATAGCAGAAAAAATTGCTGGTTTAATTGACAACATGGTTACTGGAGGTCTCTCACCAAACACAATCAAAGAACGAGTTGAAAAATATCCTCCTCCAGAAAATTGTAAATTCCTGTCCACCTCCACTGTCAATGAAGAAATTTGGGATTTGCTGCCACGACGCAGCAGAACGGTTGACCTAGCTTTCCAGCGAGTTCAAGAACCACTTGTTCAGGGGTGGTCAGCCCTGTCTATTTTAGGAAACCAGTTGGTAAAGGACCTTCACGCTGGAAAAACATTAAACATACGTCAGATCTTGGATCACGTGATGGATAGCATTGCTCTTCTAGCTAATGCCAATTTTAAACTCAATATGGCACGGCGAGAGTTGATGAAACCGGAACTTAACCCTCCATACACCAGGCTGTGTAAAGATGAAATTAAACCTTCAACAAAATTGTTTGGAGATGATTTATCCAAACATTTGAAGGATATGGCTGAGGCGAAGAAAGTTGGCCGACAAATGCAGAAAACTTCTGCAACTCGAACGGCAAGTCAAGGCTATTTCAAGGCAGGATGGCAGAAATTTCGCCGTCCAAACTTTAAACCTTATGACATGCCGTTTTCCAAGCTTTTTCTGTCGTTTTCCACCGTGGCCAAACGTAGAGTTTCTCGCAGGTTTTCATTTGGGACCCTTCACGCAAAAAGGGGGCTTATGGATTTCACCGAAAACCAGGAAATTTTTTCACGGTCACGGTGTGTGAATTGGACTTGCATGCTAGCATGCCGTGAAAGATAGAGTGAAAACTTTCATGCCAAGAATATAGGAGTGAAAATTTTCACGCCGTGAAATCCATTGGGGGTGTTGAAAGGAGCTTCATGCTATGTAAACTTACCTGCGTTCTTTCCATGTCTTAACAACAGATGTTATCATTACAGAAAAACTCTGTCATGCAATATGTGGCTTTGTGGTCATCACGGATATTTCTGTAATGATTCCCTAATCAACTAAAATGTTCGGAAGTCAGACAGCAGATAAAATTCTAGAGAAACGCTTTGGCTTTATCTCTAGAAAGTGATTCAACTTTATTTTGTTTTATTTACTTATAAACTTAAATTTGCCGTGCTATTTGAAAAAGATAGCGGCTTTGCAGCATATAAGTTTATGGCTTGCCTGGGCTCAAAACCAATTGTCATGATTTGACCTCTCCTACTCAACGGGAAAGTGAACTGAAAGGTACGTATTCTTTGTTTAAAAATTCTGTGCCTTTACAAACAGGATCATAACTAGTGCGCAGCTGGCTTATAGAAACAGTGCAAAACAAATATGCTGATATTGTTTGTCAATTAATCATTTATTTTTGCTTTTTGAGACTCCTGAGCACACAAGAGTTTGCGTGATCTGATCTGTTCAACTCGCGATTCTGGCTCAAATGCCCGGCAGTCTGAAACAATATCTCCACAAAAATTTTGTCCTATCACCTCAGGTATTTGCAACCAAAATACCATAAAAAAAACTATTTATTATAAATTCAAGGTGCGCCTTGTACAAAATAGCAGGTTCAATGCAAAAGAGAGGAATGAGTCGTCATATTTCTTGTCTACTCTCTAACTGTAAGATGGTGGATGCCATTTATTTACGGTGTGCCACAAACACAGACTGGCGAGGTAAACATTGTTGTGAAATGCTTAAACAGGTTCCCTAGCCCTAAACTAGATTTTTAGAAGACTTAAAGTTTAAGGATAGGGAACGATTCACAACAATGTTTACCCCGCCAGTCTGCAAGTCTGCAGTCTGCGTTTGTTGCCCACCGAGTTACGATTCAACACTATCAGATAAAAAGCATGCAAGTGTTAGACATCGGAGGTGGTTTGAGGACAACGTTTTACCTTCTTCAACTTCCTACATTTCAGGTTAATTGTGGATACTATCTCCCTGGTCACATCATTAACGTTTTCCACTTGTAGATCGGGAGGCAACTTGGCTAACACTAATCTTAAAACAAGAAATTAAATTCAGTTAGCAAGTGATTGAATTGTGTCAATTTATCTCGCGAAATTTAAACACTTATTCCTTTGATTTCTAAAATAGAAGAGGTTTCTAATGAATTTGTGAGAGGACACCTTCAAAAGAACACTTTTAGATGTTTTTTTTATTGCGTGAACCCAGGTGCATGACAGTTTAATTTTAAAAACAGAAGATTATTTAAATAGTAATTAAGAGTTACCAATTCGGTCCTGCAGTTTTTGTTCTCTTCCAACTTTTCTTTCTAGTGTGAACTGGTGATTTGATTTATTCTTTATTAGGAGAAATCTGTATTGGTTTCTATTCTCTGAGCTGCATCATTCTTTTGCTAGAAGGATTAACTATGTACATTGTAATCCATGATAACTACTGACGACTTATCAGTCCAATCTTGCATTCATCGAGCTTGTCCTTACCCGAGGTGCCATTAACATTTGATCTAGCAAGCTCGTCTGCGCTGAAAGGCTATTCTAAACATTTGCAAGTGTACCTTTCTCTGAAGGAAATATTTTGCCGACATTTTTTCAGCTTCCAGGCTGTCTCCTGCGGCAGGTTGGAAACGATGGGAGAGATGCTTGGTAAAGGTTGTGGCTGTGGAATTAGTCTAATTTTAGTTGACTGTGGATTTTTCTTCGTGGAGGATTCAGGTTGTACAGATGGTGAAATAAATGTGGTTGTCTGTGATGATGACACAGAAGTGATTATGGCATTACTTCGATTTTGTGATTGTGGAGAGGCTGGCTGGTGTGGCAATTGAATACTGGAAATGCTAGTGGTTGGAAACTGGATGCGTGGATCTTGGGGTGAAAAAGGAACGAGGCAAATTCCAGCTTCTATAGCAGTTAATCTCGCTTTTATCGCTGACACCAAATTGAAAAGTAGATTGGCCATTCTATGCAGGCCCTCTACCCAATCCTTTACTGTTTTCACATCCTTAAAGAGATTAATGGTTTGGTTTTACGTATGTGTTTCCTGAACTGGTTTTAAGACTAAGCCAAACAGCTGATAGTCCTATTATTAGCTACTTAGCGAGCTTTTTGTGACTCAATTGCATGCTGGGTACACATTCAACCTAAAAAAGGGCCTTCCCAAGGTTCTCATTTGGTACTAGGGGATACTTGACAACAGAAGCATGGAGCTAAAAAGGGAGAGTTGTAGGAATACACTCTTTTTTATAAGAATGCTGAGGCTGAGATTAACCAATATTATAAGGACGTATTAAGATCATTTATCATGCTGCTAGTTGAGTAAGATCATTCCACCTCAGCTCCAACAGCTTACTATTACTTCATCTTTTGAAATAGGCAGAGATGGAATAATTATGAGGTAAAACAATCGTTTACTGCAGTGCGAAAAACACCATAATGATAGTAGATTTACACTTGTTTTCCGGTAACTCGAACCTTAGGAAACATCACTCAATAAAACTTCAAATAAAGGGAAAGGGGCAACTAATGTAACATTGAAAAGTACTAACAGAGAGACATCCAGCGGTACAGCAAAACGCCAAGGACAATTGCTCAACACACAATATTGCCACTATACATAGACTAATAAACGGAGTACTTCGCCTCACGGAAAGTTCAAGGAAAACAACAGAAAAAGTGAGGAACAGAAACAAGAAAAATCAATTTTTGCTAGAGCTCATGTGAGGATGAAGTTCCTAAAGTGTTTGACGGAGTAACTAAGAGAAGTGTATCTGTTGGGACTTAAGGATATCAAACTTTACTACCTGAGAGATTTGTCCGATGTCCGGATTGAAATCTATGCCGTCATGCCATATTCCTCTCAGGTCTTCAAAGTCACTCTCTACATCCTGATTCTCATCCTCTACATCTGTATCATCCATCTCTGTAGCCATTACATCATCAAGGTCCTGGAGTGCTGGCTGTGCATTTTCTACATTCTCTTTGCTTGAAACAACATCCTGGCATAGGTGTTTCTCCGTATCAGGCTGCCCAGGTTGTGGTTAACCTATGACTAAATGTTCGGGACTCTGCTTTCGTTTTGAGCCTGCTTCCCTGACGTCATCTTTTTTAGGTAAAGATTTTTCTTTGGCAGTTCTCTCTTGGTCCGTTGTTACTTTTAGATTTCTTTTTATAATGTACTCTTCGTAACACTTCGTTTCTGAAACATTCTTCTTCGGGCTAGCCGATTTCTTCTGGACAAGTTGTTTGAGTGGCCTGTTGTCTTCTGGGTCTGAGTCAAAATCTTGTTCAGCTGTTTCAATGCCTGAAATGATTCGAGTCAACTAAGTGTTTATGATTGTGCTGTGTTTATATGGTTTATTTCTCATTCACCGACCCTTTTTTTATTTCTTCCCTAATGTTGCAAGGCACTAAATATTTACTACTGGGGCCACAAAATCCTCCTTGCCAGGTCGACAAAACTCTCTAATTTCTTTGTGCAGATATCTCCTACGCTTGTCGTCAAGTCCACTAGGTAATACTTGTGGAGGAAGGAGACGGGGAGGGAGTATGCTTGCGTCTTTCAACATTTGAAGTTCTTTCTCTGTTGCATCTGCATGTTCCTTGTAAAAAACCTTCCCTGGATAATTATTGTGGAAGCGAAAGTGGTGAAATTTGCTGATTCCTGTTAACTTTTTGAAATAAGGAGCAAGGTGGCCTGACAAGTCATATGTTTTAACAAGAACAGTTCCATCATGCAACCCAACCAGCTTCCACAATTCACACCGCTGAGGGTCGATTTGTCGTTGGCCTCCTGTATGTCAAACAGATGTGACACTAATGTTGTTCTAATCTGTTGCTTCATCAGTCCAAAGCACCAGTCAGGGCTAAAGTTGGTGTGGCCCGCCACCAAAAAAGAATATGTTATGTTCTCATGCTGACCATGGATGCAACGCCAGCACCAGTACCACAGAACATAGTTGTTTTTGTTCTGGCTGCCACAGTTGTCCACATGAAAGTGAACATCTGTTTCACCAGCTCTGTGGTTTTGAAGAAAATCCTGCATGTAACTGATTGTCGTGTTTGCACCTTTTCCAGTTGCAACTGACTCATCAATAAAATATTTAATTTGACGCAGTATAGCTTCGCAGCATATGCCGAATATACCGCATTTTCTTGCCCTTTTAACCCTTCCGTGCGCAATCGTACGAATTCGTACGATCGGAAGGGGTCTGCAGAAAAATTGTCAGCGTACATTTACATGAGTCTTGGGTAGCCTGTGGTGACTTGATCAAGAAAGAGAACAACATGGGTGCCATTTCGCGTCTGTATGATCAATTGTTGTCAAATTTTCGATATTTTATTGACCTCAGCGGCATGCGAACTCAAATGATGGCGATGGAAGACTAAGATCTTTCAGCTTTGGTTATATTTTTGGGGATTTTTCGCGGTAATGGTCGTGTTTTTCGATGAGTTCTTCAGCGAACTACAAGGCTTAAGATTCAAACAGTTGAACTTTTAAGTGTGTGGTGCTGTCGAGGAAAGCTGCTGGATTTATAGGCTTGAAAGGTAACTCGAAGCAAAATTTGTCATTTTACAAAGAAACATATGCAAATAGCACCATTTTGTATCGACCAGTCAAAGATTTTAGCCATTCTTTCATAGTTTTAACACCGTTTATTTTGCTTTCTTGGTTTCAAAATAAAGCTTGTGTGACATTGGATCGATTTTTCTCACTTGCTTTGATGTATGTTGCTGTGTGGAGTAATCATGCGGTGAAAAACTTTATAGGCAACTATTTTGAGACACACTTTTGTCAAGTTTATATTTTAAAAAAAAATTCTCAAAAATAGGATATTTGGTTTTCTGTTACCGAATGCGGGCTAGCTTCAATTTAATGTATCCCGAAACAGTCTAGGTCAATTTTTGATATCATACTATCAAGATCGATGGCAAGAAATAAATTTTTTGTTGGTAGTATTTTTAGCGGCCTTTTCCTTCCCAGGAACTTGCACACGAAAGGGTTTTAAAGTAAATGGGACCTGGTTGTTGAGGATTGCTAGGATAATGCACTTGTTGGGCATAATCATAAGAATAGTGCAAAGTCCCTTGCAAAGAACAGGGATGACTGGGTGAAAGAAGTGTGATGTTTGGGTGACCCTTCAGAAGATGTTTATTAGCATCAGCAGCAGAATTGTATATATATCTCGTTCTCGTTTGGCTTTTCTGAGATGATTCTGGTGGGCTTCAACAGCTTCAATTTTGTCTTCTTCTGAAGCGCTGGCATGTCCTGAAATTTTTTCTGTATTTTTCTGGCGGGTGTGACAAAGATCTGTTGACGGCTGCATTATTTTAATGAAGGGAAGGAATTCGTTCCAAGTTTGAACAAATTTTGTGTATCCCACGACTGTGTACCCTCCAATCTCTGCTGTATGTTTATAGCATCTCCACAGCTCTGCTTTGGTGGTGGTAGTAGGCAGAAGCTTGACGCGATGAATAATCTTGTAGCCTGGAACTCTGCCTGGCAAGGAAAGGCCTTCTCATCCAGCTTAATTTTCAATGAAGCTTACAACATGTTGGAAGGATACGTAAGGAGTTCCGTTATGTGGAATGCCTTTTTCGTTGCCGTGGACTCGAGGACGTAGACCATTACTTCTTAAGCGAGCTCTCAGATTCTCGAGTCTTCTTTGGATATGCAGTGAAGGAACAAAAACGTTCTGCGAACTTGATGACCACGAACAAAGAATTGAGAAGGAAATCGTTTCATACGATGCCTTTCTTTTGTATACCCATCAAGTCTGCCGATGATAAGCAGATCCAGTAGAAATGACGTTAGTTCTAAGCCTTGAGACCTCATCTCACTCACCGTAGTTTCGGTAAACAAAGTGGAACATGCTCGTTCATTTGGACCAAGACTACACTGAGAGGAAGCAGTTAGAAATGTGCAAATACACTTGTCACTATCTTCACTTGCACTGTCACAAGTGTCAGGATTCTGGTGAAGACTTTCGTGGCTGTTCTGGGTTAATGTTGTTGGCTTCTCGAAAAGCGTATCACTATCGCCGTTTCTGTCGTCATCAGAACTTTTGCCGTCAGAATCACTTGAAGAGTAACTATCTAATTGTGGCGGAAAATAAATTGCTTGAACTGCATCAAGTTCACGCTGAAAGGTTTCTTCAATTCCACCAAAACCACTAGCAGTAAAGGAATGTGTGTTTTGTGACGCCATGACTGCTACTTTCGTGAGAAAAAAAACGGGGACAAATTTGTTTGGAAAATATTACTTCGTATTCTCTAAATGTACGTGAATTTTGGTGATATCAACCCGCAAAGTTGTTCACAACTGAATATTTGGTGTCAAACAGGCAACTAATAATGTTATGTGGACAACAAATTATTGTGCTATATGAAGCTAACATTAACAGTCAGTCCGGAATAGTTATTTCCTTTATTGGGCGATTCCAGAAAATATCCATACCATACCACGGACGGCTTTAAGGATTTCCGAAGGGGAGGGGGGATTCACGATTATGGAATTCTGAAGGCATGGGGGGGTATTTACGATTTGAAATCCGAAGGTATGGGGGAATTCCACAGGTGGGATTTCTGGAGTAGAAAGTGTAGAGTAAGTTCCTGGAAAACGCTATTGTTGTGGACTTTTGTAGTTCGTAAATAAACCACAAACGTATGACCGCGGAAGCAGAAGACAAGCATCGATAGATCAGACACGTGTTTACGCTCATAACTTATAGAAGTGAACAGTAAAACGTTGGTTTCACATTTACCTTGATGAATTTCTTGTCACGTGAATAAAAACTGAAAATGTATCTTTTAATACCGCTTGCAAATT